GGGCTGTACTTTGTGTTAGTAATCACTGCCCAGCAGAGGATACAGGCAGTTCTGTTTCACTTCTGCTGTCTTCCTTACCTGTAAACCATCCTGAAAAAGTCCAGGACAGCCTTAAACACTTGTGCTTCTTATGCACTTCAGCCACTCTGCCTTATCCAAATTAAAGAAACAAACAAGCTGCTAGGTAGCAATTTCTGCACCTTTGGCAGGTTCCTAACCTTTCAGTGTTTAATTTAGTGCTGCGCTGACATTCTTGGCAAAAAAGCTGCACAGTATTTACCTGGAGTCCAGGAAACTGCATCACCACCACTGTCTTGTAATAATCCCATGAAAATCCAGATTTTCTGTTAATTCACAAGTGGTTTTAATAAATTGAAATTATCAGTTCCGCAGGAAATAAAAAAATACTTGTGATCCAAAATAGATCCTTATCTCACTGCTTTTCAGACTCTTGTGGTTCTTTTGCTTACGGCTACCTTTTCTTCACGGAGAATCATCCAGCCTTGCAAATCTTGCAGCTTTTCTAGTTGATTAGCATAGTGAAATTCACCTTGGAGCAATTATCTTTAACTTGTTTTAAGCTTGAAGTCCTTTGCTCCTATCTAAGGTGTGATAGAAAAGCTAGGGGTCCAAAAGCATTTCTTTTACAACGTATCCCTTGGTCTAATAAAAGATATTACATCTATCTGAAAATGTCATCTATATTCTTGGACCATCACAAGCATAACAACTTTTTACTTTTCATAAATTGTTAAATAGCACTACTCCATTAATTCATTGTAGTTACACTTTGGAAAGGAAAGAAACAGTATTTGAATGAAGCATTTTTTCTTATTTTGGTTCATATCATGATGGGAAAAGGTTGTTATACTGTGCTTGTTTTTTTCTTTATAATTTCACCTTCTCTGTAAAGGGAGGTAATCTATGCATACCATTATTTCCAGACTTGTTCCGAAACTACTATGAAACAATAAGATACAAAAAGGTCAGATAATATGAGCGATTTGGAGATTACCTTTAGCTCATGCAAGATATCTTCAAAGTATGTATCTACAGCGCAGACATAAGCATATTTCTTGATATGCAAAAAGGCTAGTATATAGCATGTAATTTTAAAACTTCTAGTCAGTCTACAGACATTATCATGCATATTTCTAAGTTTTTATCTTTCAGTATCACATCCATATCACATACAGATCACATCTAATATGCTTGACCCATGAGACATAAAGATATACAAGAACTTCTCCTTGGAAATTTGTACATCTTTACTCATGAGGTGTAGGACTGGCATATTTGGGAATCGTCAACTTTGCTGTACATGCAGAGAGTCTTTGTTGCTCTAACGAAGTCTAGGTCCAGACTCACTGTCAGAGTTTAATGTATCACTGTCCAAAAGTGCTAAGATTTTATGAAAACATTACTTTCCTGGGAGAATTACACCATATTTGCTTACTCTAATGGCTCATTTGGCTCATTTGGGGTATGTAGACAGCAAATGTGTCTACAGACACACTAATTAATTATGTGGCATTAATTAACTTGCAGAGATATTACTAACAGTATAGGTCTCACTGCATGACAGAGTCTGTAAACATAACTAGTATCCTCGGCTGTATATTTTCAGGTTACTAAATACAAAGCACCTGAAGTCTTGCTGCGAAACCACAGAACATCTAATCCAGCAGCAAAGGGGATAGCAAGATCTAGCTGGCAGTCTAACTCAAAGTGGAAACTTCTATTGACAGTAATGTGTGAGGAAAAAAGCATGTCTTACCGAGGTCAGGATAAAAAAGGTAGAGTTGGCAAGTAAATAAAAATGCCGAATATACTTACTTTGAAATCACTAAGGTGTGGAAACCTGAAAGTGAACTGGGCCAATCTAGCATTTTTTTGAGAACTCCAACTTAACAATGATAGGAGGGAAGCAAATGTCTTTTTTCTCTGTCAGTTCTCTGATTAGCCTCAATATTTCCAAGTGCAATCCCCCCTGGATCAACAAATTATACAGAGGACTTCCTCTTCAAAGTTCACGTCCATCATGCTTTAGTATCCTCTTCTGATCAAGAACTAAATATTGAAAGCTCAAGTCCTTTTTCCCCCTTAAACAAAAGCTACAGGTCTGGGAGATTATAATCATATCTCTCCCAGCTGAAGTTCCTCAGCTATAAAACAGAAATTATATAAAATTTGAGGTTTGCTTTTTCCTGTTAGACAATATATACGTGTGAGTGACAATCCCCCCAAATACACATCAGACACATTAGCTACCTTGTTGACTCTTACCTTTCTTTCAAGAGGAATTCCAAAAATTAACAGTGACACTTTCAGTTACAGATTCATTCCTAATTTCACCAATATAACAACTTTTGTAACCTGATTATTTTCCTCCTTTTAGGATAATAAATTTTTTAACCATGAGTAAGCTTTTTGCTGGTTAAAAAAAAAAAAAAGAGAGAGAGAAAAAGCATCTCAGTGTACTTGGTTTGAAGATGTTTTTAATTACATATTTGTTCTTATCCAAGTGTTCATTTCAAATGTGTGAGAAGACCTTGTATTTGCTTCCTTGATAGAATTCCACCCTACTTCTTGTTATCCTGAGAGAATGAATTAGGTTCCAGGTGGTACTCCTGTCATTTGTGGATTATTATTACTGGTCATATAGAATTAATCAATCTCCATTGTGACATTATAATTTGTATAGTGTCATGTAAAACTGGAGGTAGTTCACAGCCTTAAAGAACTTTCAACTTAAGTGTAAAATAAGAGATGAATACTGTAGGGAGATGACCCTGCGGTGCTGAGGAAAGAAGCTACAGCTGGTGATAGGGAGCAATCACAATGCAGCAGGTATCCAAACATTATAAACGTTTTGTTAGACATCAGGGCGATGGTGGTTTTGCAGGTTCTTATCTCACATCTTAATGTGCTTGTTGAAAAATTGAACTAATAGACTCAAGTTGAGTTTGGCTTGAAAAGAGACAGGAGCCATTATTACTCATTTTATTAGAGTTGATAGGGAAGAAGGCAAGTGGAAAGACCTTCAAAGTGGAGCTAAGTAGTTTTGCACTTATTCCTTCCTCATGTTTAATACATTCAGAGAAAATAAGTTCTATTCCTGTGCTGTTGAAAGTTATCATTGTGGCGACTCCGTTATTGTTCATTCATTCCTATTTTGCCGCAATATTCAGAAGTGGTACTTAGTCAATGCATTTTATTTATGTAAGAAATTCAGAAGAAAGCTGCTTACTTTATAATAGCTATAAAGAGAGTTGGAAATATTGGTCACTAAACTGATTGTTGGTGTAATACATGAAAGAAAGAAGAAAAAGAACATAAAATTGCATAAACAAAGATGGAATGTTCAAAAGGTGTAGTAGCCTCTGACAATTATTAAATCTGCAAAAGAAACATGGTACACTCAGTGTTAATTACAGTATCTCAAGAGGCTTCTGGGAATACAACTGCTTCATTTTTTATCTGGCCTTTAAAATCAATGACTCAACATTCTGAGATTGTTCTGCTGCTTTGTGAACAAAAAGAAATGGTTTCAAGACAGTAGCAAAGTATACTTTTCCAAACTTACTCAAGTGCTTTCTGTGTTCTAAAGATGCTGTCTGCTGTGAGCAATAGTAGCAATTTCCCAGACATCCTTTAGTTACTAATTTATAGAATGGTTGTTTATGAATAAGTGTTTGAATCAACTGATGACTTCCAAGTCTATAGCATTTTTTACATATTATTTGAAAGCCAGAGCCTTAGCATTTTGACACATGGTCCACAAATACTTACCATGAAGGTAGAGATTATAATTGCAAGTCATGTATGAAATTATTGATTGCTTACAGTGCTAAATACAACGATTGTCACAGGATTGATTCTTCTCTCTCTGTTCCCATCAGAGTTACAAGTGGTATATGCAAGTCACATTAAAAGTACCTTCATTTTTTTGTTGTGTTTTGTCTTGTCTTTTCCTCAAGATCTCCTCACATTCTCACTGCAGTTCTGCCTCTGATATTGACATGTCTTTGAAACTTGTCAACATAAAGCAGCTCGTGGTCCCAGAGCTAAGCCTTTCTCCCTCCTCTTGACTCTCAAGCAGAGATCTGAGAGCAGTTACCCAACTAGCTCTCAAAACATCAGTGCCTGGAGGCACATGTTTAAATATTTTTATTATCTCAGTGGGGATAAGAATTTTTGAGCAGAATCAACCTGGCAACATTTCCAAAGAACTAGAGATGCTTCACTGTAAGGAGTTCCCTCTATATGGGATTAGGAACAGTTTGAAAAGTGGTTTCCTTGCCTAAGCCTTGCCGTGTACTTGATAAGAAACAGCATCTCAGGAAACTGAGCTCATGATGGTGAACTAAAGTCTCTTTAGCCATCCATGAAAGTCTTTCTCCCTGGGTTCTTTTGGGATATGCTGTTCCAAGGGAATAGTTGCTTGACTTTCCAAAATAGAGGGCCTGCTAGCATTCACGTTGTGCAGTTTACCTTACTACCATCTCTGACAGTGGTATTAGTATCTTTATGTCTTGAAGCCATAATCTGAAGGATGTGAAAATTTCATTACCTCTTACTTTTTTGAAAAATGCATCAAAATATACCATGTAATTCTACCTTATCAAAATGGAAATGTGTAAGAAAAGACAATCTAGATTATTATTCAGGATGTCTAATGACTGTCATTAGCAAAAATGATTATGAAATTAACTAGTAAAAGAATTTTTTAAAAAGCGAAAATTAGGAAAAACTTACTAATTGTGAGACATCTTAAACTTTTGAAGTTTTGTGGGATATGGCAGAAACTACGTAACATGAAGCATTTAAAATTTGCCACACCAAAACATTCAGAAATACACATAAAATACAAAGCAGTTCTATATTGTTAGGGGTTGACCTGGTAATCTGCTCTCTAGCTCTAATTTTCAAGATTTTCATTTGAGAGAAAAAGAAATGGAGTTATGTACTCAAAATATTTGTCTTGTTTTCTTTTTCAGCACAAATTGAAGTGATACCATGCAAAATCTGTGGTGATAAATCCTCTGGAATACACTATGGAGTCATCACATGTGAAGGCTGCAAGGTATGAGATTTTAAAACAGCATACTCATCAGCATCTGCATTAGCCTCAGGCGTCTCTGTACAATAATACACTCTTACATGCTTTCAAGCCAGTGGTGCCAAAGACTGTAAAGCCTGCTGCTGATAGAGATGCATTTCATGCCTAGTTTCGTTAGATGCTTTCTTTTTTATCAAGTAGACTTAAGAGCTGCCTCCTTGTTTGAAACTTGAATTAACTGCATCTGATGCAGTGTAAGTGCTGATACCAAGGCTGGCAACTGCAAGTCACACCTGTTCTAACTGAAATCAGCTTGAGAGATGGATTTCTTATCTTGTTTCCTATACAACCCATGTAGCATTAAAGTTGGCACATTATTTCCCATCAACATCTTAAGAGCTTACAGGTGTGAATTTGGTCCTGGTTTATCCCCTTTGCATTCTTTGCAGACCAAATTGCAATCCCCAAAGGTTACAATGCCTTACAGTATGAGCAGTGTAAAAGGATCCTTTGTCTTCTCCTGCATAGGCTTCAGTGCAGGGCAATTGCTGGGAGTTGGAGATTTAGAAAAAAAAAGTGTGGGGACGCATAAAACTGTTCCATGCTGCTTAGTCATATTAATGTATTATCTCAGGCACTAGATCAAATACCACAAATCAGACCACAAGCCAAGAGAAAAAAGGCTTCAATTTTTGACTTTAAAAATACTCTGTGATTTTGTTTTCTGAGGGATTATATTATTATTCGTGGAAAACCAGAATTCCATACTACATGTTAGTATTTCAGTTTTGATTGTAAATATGAAATTGCAAAGATAGAGAGGCAGCATCTCTGATTGCTTCTATGTGGAAGCACACAAACTGGGCCACTTGAAAATGAGAGCCTACTTGTAGAGTGAAATCTCAAGTCTGTACTTACTTAATGCTTTACAAAATTTTAGAACATCTGAAAAATCTGAAAATTTGGGTGCACCCATTTGCAAAAGACATATTTTAATGCCAACACATTGAGAAGCAATAAACTAGTAAAGTTCAGATTTCTTTCAGGAACATTAACACTTGTAAGGAGAACAATTTGCAGTGTGTCACTGTCTTATTGTGACACTAGACTAGAAATAAGCATCTTCTTATTATGATAACATGAAACAGGATTAAACTAATTGATCTGATAATACAGAGCTGGCCCAAATCTACAGAAGAAAATTGTTTCAAGCAGAAAAGGAATATCTCTCAGCCCTCAGTGCCCACAGAACAGTTAGGGGTATAGTCTTCTGTAGAAGTAATTAGGGTTAATGTTGGCCCTTGTGTGTGCCTCAAGAGGAGATGATACAAGTCAGCTCTGTGAGTAGAATGCTTACTGAGATAAAGAGCTTCTCTTCCACTTATGACAGTTTTAACCCTACTGGTTTTGTGCCAGTTTTGCAGTATCAGATCAATTAGTCTAATCTTGTTTTGTGAGCCTGTGTGAAAAGAAGATGTCAGTTTTCAGATTGGTTCCACTGGGAGCCATCTCAGACTGTCAGAGCTCCCTGTTAAGGTAAGCACTGTTTCAGGAAGTGCAGCTCTGCTCTTCATTTAAATGCTCAGCATTTAAAAAACTATTCATTCAGCCCACGTACTAGTAACTGGTCATTTCTGGCTCCTTTTGTCTGAACATGTTAGAAATCTGAAATAATTAAGAATGGAGGTCTTATGTGGAAGAAATAGGCTAGAATCACTCCAGAAGCATGCACACACATTGAGCCAGGCACCCGATAGCTGCAGCATTTCAGGACACGGCATCCAAGAACTACACTGCCAGTGGTGGTGCTACAAATTTCAAGGAACAGAAAATCCTTAAACTCTGTGTCCCTACATTAGCTATGGTGCTGCAAATCCATATTATAAGTGCTTAAGGATCATTGTAAATATTACTGTTGTTCTGTGTACATGCCTACATATGCTGAATAACCTGCTGGACCTGGTGAGGAAAATTGCATCTGTGCCAATATCCTACTGAAATGGTAAAACCTGAAGATAAGTTTCCATCCCATCTGTTTCTGTGGCTTCTTCTTTGCTGAGAAGCCTTTTACCCTCTCTTCTGCCTATCCCCCTGAGCAAAGTACTTGCTACCATTCTTTTGTCATGATTTAGAAAGCAGTTCACATGGCCATTTCCTTTCTCAGGCTGACTGTGGGTGGTGGATGAAGTGATTTGTTCACGATGCAGAAAGACTTGTTGTCAGTGTTGGGAACATTGGGAAATCTGTCTTTAACTCTTTAGCTCCTCAATAGTGAGCTGCCTCTTTTTTCATGCAAAATGAAATTATTCTAAGTAAATGTAGCCAATGCTATATAAAGATTCCATGAAAATGAAATGAAAGGATTATCTCTACTTTATAAGAGAACATTTAGATCTTATACTGGAGAAAAAGGGAACAAAATTCTCCTCAGAAAAATGAATTATCTGCTGTAAATTAATTTTATTATGTAACCCTTGATACATAATGTGGTCCTTTTTTCCTAAGAGGGGCAAAGAAGAAACAAACAGATTCTTCTGAGATGAGATCAACATTAATGGGAACAAAAAGCACTGCAGAATAAGGCACAGTCAATGCTAAATGGTTGTGAGGGGTTTTATAACATAATTTATTTAATTTGTTCTCTCAAATCCATATTGACATAGATGCTGCTAAAGTCTAAATGGTTGAAGCAGAATACACTTCCCAAGTCAAAACCAAAATTGTCTGTGAAGTTCAACAAAGAGAGTAAAAATATCTGCTATTAGCATCCATTTAGCCTTAAATTAAATGCACCTCCACAATTTCAGGAAAGTTTTGGTCAGCCAAGACCAGAGAAGTTGACACCAGAATTTTTCTGAGAGTTCCTCTAGAGGACATCCATGTTCTCAAAAGTGCAAATCATAAAATTTAATTAGATTTTACATATACTATAATCACTGATAAAACAAGCTTGGGCCAGTTCAAATGAACTTCCGTATGCTTGACTTCAAGAACTAGTGCTGCCAGTGTCCTTGGTGGAACACAGTGCCTGTCGCCTGTTGTTACTGACACCCTACAACACACTCATTTGGTTCGCCAGGACTTGAATGAGAATTCTGATATAACCGTTAGCAAGTGAATTAAGCCCTGACCTCTCTACTCTCATTCCATTGCTCAGTATTACCATCCATCAGTCTGTGCAGAGATACACTGGTTTTTTCTGGTAAACAAAGTCAGCAGTTGCTTTCTGGCTCCATTCAGTGGTGTTTGCAAACCAGCCCAGAAAGACACAACCACTTTGGTATCACTTCCAATGTCTGGTGTAACTCCAGTAATGATATTACTGCTCTTTTACTCCTCATAGTCTCCTGCAGTGGCTAGGCTGTCCTTCGGCTTTCCCACCACACATCCTGCAACTGTTTGCATCTAAAGGTGTAAAACTTATCAAGGAACTTCTCTTTGTTTTTTTCTCTCCGGATGTAACAGCTCCTCCTGACCTTTATTTTTTTATTATTTCTTTATTTTTAAATAGATTTATTTATTTTTGTTTATCCTCACCCCCTGGTTTCATTCCTCTTGTCACCTCTGCTATTTCATGTCCATTCTACCATAACAGTGCCTTAGCACAGCTTGTGGCACACCTCCTAGCAGCTAGGAGCTCGTAAGGACTTCGGTATATATGCTTTCCCTCTAGCCCTCAGATCTCTAGCCAAATAACCCACAACTAGCCAGAAAAACCTTCTAGGAGATAGAGTACACATTTTTTCAAAGATAAAATGGATAATGCTATATTCTATTGAAATGGAAAGTGTCGTTACTTTCTCATGATAGTATCTAAAGGTGTTACTTTCTCCTTTGTGTGTTGTCTTTACTTGATACAGTCATTATATCCTAGTGCTTTTGTGAAGCTTGAATTTGAATTACTTTTCATTCTTGAAGGGTATAGCCCCTCCAGATTAGATCAACACTTGCCAGGTTAAACTGAAGAGCAGACTTCAGCTTCTAGTGCTGTTTGTACCCAGTGACAGTTATTACCAGTTTCTTCATTAAAGGAAGAAAATAGTCAAAACAAGTACATTTAATTCATCTCTTTACAAATGCTGACAAGTTTTTCCTCTATTAGGAGCAAGTGTTAGATAATACATGATCAATATTGCACAATAAAAATGCATTTTGTAACATTATTGTTTGAGTTTTAACAAAGTAGAATTACATTCTTTACAGAATAAGCAAAATTGTCCTTATAAGTAAATGTTATTTAATTTCACTGTGCAAGGCCACCATACCTGCAAAGCCACAGCATGAGTAGCATTACACTAAATAAATTTATTGTAGCCATTTGCATGGTTCTGTGTGTGTGTGTGTATGTGTGTGTCTGTGGGTGTATGTGTGCGCACACTCACATATATGCTCATGGTAATAGTTGATCTCTCCTTGCACCCAAGGGATTCTTTAGGAGGAGTCAGCAGAACAATGCATCCTACTCCTGCCCAAGACAGAGAAACTGTTTAATTGACAGAACCAACAGAAATCGTTGCCAACACTGCCGACTGCAGAAATGCCTTGCCCTGGGAATGTCTCGAGATGGTAAGGAGTAAAATTTGTGCTTCATACCTAAGCCCTTTGAAACTCTTCTTCACTTCTGACTTATTTAAATTCCCTGTAGATTTCTGCAAAAAGAGAGAGGAGCAGCTTCTTGCTTTGTAGTGCATGCACTGTGAGATGATCTTTTCCATTTTGTTAACAAAAGAGGCTAATTTCATGGAAAGGGTGGGGAAATCACAAAATAGAGAGCAGTATTAGTTTGAAACAGAAGGAATCAGAAGTGAAATATGTGATTTTGGTAAAAAACACAAAGCACAGATAGGTCAACTCTGGAGAGGTGGGTTTATATTAAGCATTATATTAAACATTAACATTTTTTTGACATTAAATATTGTTGTGTGAAAGCATACCTTTCCTTGAGATCTCTAAGGGTCTGTGCCAGTAACTAGGCAGTTAAACAGAAATTTACACCTTGATAGCATTAGAGCTTTCTGTTTGTTTTATTCAGAGCACTTAACCAAATATTTTGGAGTGGAAAAAAACCCAACCTTTCTTTTACCTGCACACTGCCTCCTGTCCCTGTCTGGGTCTATAAAGGAAACATTTCCTAATTAGGCACTGAAAATGGACCCTTTGCCAGAGGAAAGCTCAACAGTGTATCCCATCTCAGGATCCTATGGTCCTTGAAGAGCTCTGGTCCACCTTCCAAGCTGTGGTGTGATAAGCCAAGATTGCATCTGAGAATGTGCATCACAACAAAACTGCCGGTAGTGGGAGGCTTTGGCAAGACTGCCCACAATTTACTTCCCCCAGCCACCACTCCTCATGCAGGGGGTTTCCAGTTTACAGGCATGTTTTAAATAGTCAGAAAATATAAGAAGAAAATATTCTCTTTTTTTGAAGGCGAGTTATAATAATTTCATTTGCCTGGAAGCAGTTTTCTATCTTAAAAAGTTTACACAAAATATGTATTTTGAAATTACCAGTCACTGATGGAGAAATTGTCTAAAGAGCTATTTCTTTAGATGGTCCACAGATTATAAACTTGTTTTAAATTTGGACCGTAGTAGGTCTTCTTTTACCACAATGTATCTCAAGTCTCACTGAAATGACTTGCTCTCCAGTCTCACAAATCTGGGAGGAGCCAAGCAGTCTGGCCTTTAATCCATTAATTCTTTTTGGTCTTAGCATCCAATTTACTTGACACCTTAGCTCCTAATTCTTCACAGTAATTAAAGTAGTAACATTTCAGTAATTTAACAGCACATGATTTCCTCCTAGAAGTATTATCTTCCAGTGATTTAAGGTATCACAAGGGCATTTTAGTGTGACAGACAGCACTGTCTTCCCAAGAGTAATCTGGGGATCACTGCATACAGACAAAGCGAGTGATTCGTCCAAAAGCTTAGCTTTATTCTCTCATAGTTTATGTAAGAATGTTTAAAATTAACAATATTAATAGCTCTTGCAAATTTAAAATAGGGTGTATGAATTTTTTAACAGAAAAACTGAATGTGATTTTAACCTCTCAGACATGTAATAGATTCATTTTTATCGTGCAAAGGCAGGATGCTAATTGACAGCAGCTGGAGAATCCAATTAATGAATATATAATCAGGATAAACAGTGGGTATTTGTTTTCATTACCAAGGCCCTAAATTTGAAGAAAATACACAATTGCATTATTCAAAATACAGTCACTGTATATGTTCATAAGGATATGCAATGCACCACGGACTGATTGCAGGAGCAGGCTGAGTTCATGTGAGGAAGCTTGCAGCCTCAGTGAAGGACTGCAGGTAAACTGAAGTTGGCAATAAGAAGCAATTTTACACCCTCTTGGTGTAACAAAAAAGTGAAAAGAAAGGGAAAAGGCTTCCATCTTTTTGTTCTGTCACTTTATTTTCATATTATGCTTTTCTTTTTCCTGATTGAAGAATTTCACATTTATCCGTGTGTCGGCTCAAACTCCTCTTGAGAGCTAAAAGAAAGTCCTGTGCTATTAGCCATCCTGTGCTAGTAAATGTGGGGATTCTGAATTGATCCCATTTTGAGATGGACTGGAAATACATAGTGTGAAAATACACCTCATAATAAGTAGAAATGTGTGGTTTTGGAGCAATGTCCTTTTACCTGTGTTCTGACTAATTCTGCTGAATGTGTCCCTTATTTGTTTTAGAGCACAATGAACAACTACCTCTGCTCTAAGATCCCAAGATCTAGCCCAGTAGAATATCAGAATTTATAGAGACATGGTGTGGTGGGGAGTGAGTGGAAAGATAGTCAGCTATGATCTACTGTATATGCAGGCTGTGTCTTTACTCCTTCTGTTCCGTAGCAGTCAGCCTGTCATTTTTGAAAATTTCAATCTCAGTTAATGAACCCTGTTTCTGGGGAAAGTGGTTTGTCCTCTGATGTTTTCCTCCCTTTCTCATCAGAAGGAGTACATGATTTGTGCACTGACATTATGTAAATTGATTGTGTAAATCCATAAGATTTCCTCTGTGGAAAAGATAACATTCTGTTATTTTGTTATTTTCCTCTAAGTTCTAACTCTAACCTGTAAGATTATTCTTTTTAAAGTGTGAAGATAACACCCCATTCCAAGGATGTGATAATAAGGCTTTAAGGCTCGTTTTCATACAGAGTACTAATCTTAGTAGTGTACTGTTTAAAGGTTTGTGAAAAGTTAATAAATCACATAGGATATGAATCTACATACTGTAAATTCATACAGCTCTAGGTTGTTGTTCGGTGAACACAAAGATATAAAAGGATGCATAGTCTTTTTAACATTCTCAGTGGGATGTAAGTTGCTTGACTGAGGGCCTCCTGTCAAATAAGAGTCGTCAGTTTGTAAGTTCAAGCACTTAATACTGTTTCCTTTATGAGACGCATATGGTGTAAAGCTTTGCATCCTTTCTCATTTCCACAGAAAAAGATGTTTCCACGGCAAAATTAACCCTGAAAGTAAATATAAAAGTGAGGGGGTTGAGGGCAATCAAGAAAAACTTGTGCTTTGCTTTTCAGCTGTGAAATCGTGCTTTGCTTTTCAGCTGTGAAATTTGGAAGAATGTCCAAAAAGCAGAGGGATAGCTTGTACGCTGAAGTGCAGAAGCACCAGCAGCGACTACAGGAACAGCGGCAGCAGCAAAGTGGTGAGGCAGAAGCCCTCGCCAGGGTTTACAGCAACGGCATCAGCAATGGCTTGAACAACCTGAATAACGAAACTGGCAGCACCTACTCAAATGGGCATGTCATCGATCTGCCGAAGTCTGAGGGTTATTATAATGTGGATTCTGCCCAGCCCTCCCCAGACCAGTCTGGATTAGACATGACTGGAATCAAACAGATAAAGCAGGAACCTCTCTATGACCTCACCTCTGTACCAAACTTGTTTACCTACAGCTCTTTCAACAACGGGCAATTAGCACCAGGGATATCCATGAGTGAAATAGGTAAGAAAAATTCCTGTTCCTGTAGTGCAATGTGTACATATAAGCTAAGCTCCAGTGCTGTCTTTATTGAAATGTTATATAGCCATTCCATACACAGGTACACAATAATTACATGTTCACATGTGCGTGTATGTGCACACACATACAGAGAGTAAAGCAAAGAAAATCAGTCTGGCACTAATTGACATAATATTAAGACAGCTCTGTCTTTACCAAAATCTGCAAAATATGCAGTTTCTTAAACCCAGTACTTCATGTTCTGTTTATGAAATAGAAGCATCAAAGCAGGTGACGAATCAATCATAACCAAGTGATAATTAGGAGTGGGGAGCTTGTTTCAAATGAGCTCATTACTAGCAGGGTTAAGTGATCTCTTCAGCCAACCATCTGTATTCTTGTCAACACCCAGAATCCCCATGGCAGCTAATTCTGGGATATTTACTGTGAAAAATACCAGCTTGCTACTTCTAGTGCATGGATGTCAATGCAGACCACGTTCACTGAATTTGTGAAGTGCACAGACTCTGAATGTAGTTGCTTGGATATTCCTGCTCTGCCTGAACGCCTTGGAGAACCTGTCTCTTGATTTCATCTTTGAAAAGTGGCAAAGAGACCTCTCTGTGAGATGAGACTGTTTGAAAGACAACAGCTAACCGTGATTCTTCTCTAAGGAGGATTTCTGTTCATCTAATGCTTCTAGCTGTACTTCTCCAAAACCATTGGAGGAACTGCTTCTATTATAAAGAAATAACATGAAAGAAGATTGGCATCCTAATTAGGTACCACAACAAGTGAAATATGCTGCATCAGTTGTGGTTGAGAATATAATCAAAGGGTAACAATTTGTTAATGGAATTTAATTAAAAAGAAAGAAGAAGAAGGAAAAAAAAATCGTATTCAAGAGCACTCTTAACAACCTAATTATTTTCACATCATAAAATCCCTCTGTAGTTTTGGCCTGACCTTGCTGCCTCATGGATGTACACCTACATCTGTAAATTTAGGTGTGTACTCAGACCTACTGAGAACCCTAGAGATGTGGCCTCCACTCAATATAGATTGCAGTAATGATGTATACAGTAGTTACTGTCTGATAAAAAAATGAAGTTGCAGTTAGAATCTGTAGTATGTTTTCTGCCCATGCATGCTCATGTGCAGGAGGATATATAACACATTGTGTGCTTTAGTTGCAAATTGTGCACTAGAAAGTTATGTTTTTCTGCCACTCTGTTTATTAGGACATGTTTTACTATCACATTTGGCCTAGGACTGTCCAGTAAAGTCCTACACCGATAGCATAGAATTAGCGAGGAATGTCTACACCAACTTCCCTCTCAGCTTTTGTGGTTGTATGAATATTACTTACATGTGGCTTGTGCACACCTCAGTCCTGCAACAGAGGATCACAGTACTGCAAACCAGCTGAGAGGCAATTTAAACCATCCTTAAGAGCTGTTTCCCTTCATCCCCCATACCAAAGGGAAATGTTTCCAGAGACTCAGAGGAGGTCTAGAAATGTGACAGTTCTGATAGTCCATGGATTATGGTTTGTGCTCAGTTACAGAAATGAGCCCAAATAGAGAATATATCCTTAGTGGCTAAGGGATCCCACTGAAGGCAATGAGTTCTTTTCACTCATGAAGTTTTAGAGAATCATTTAAATTTTATCTCTTGCTGGTTCTCTTAGAAATAACTTACCATTCTTAAATTTTCACCAGTTTTTTTGCTCTTCGAGCCCTAAACCAACTCCACATTTTCCAGTCTTTCATCTTGTGTGTTATCTAACCAGTGCTCACCTTCTCAAGCACATAAAGCAGGAGATAGGAAAGAGCCTGTCTCTGAGCTGACAGCAAAATTCAGATGCTCTGGGATTTATCTCTTTTCCTTTTGAAATTGAAACTGGGGCTCCTAAATTGCTAGGATTTTACCCATGTACTGCTGCCTGTCATTTGTGGCACCTACAGCAGACGGATAAGTGTGACAGTGAGAGGTACTGTAGTATAACAAATCAGCTGACACAACTGAAAAAATAGAAGAGATATACTATAAAATACTGGGATTAGTGCACAGGCAAGTGATATTTTCAGTGCTTAAAAACAAACAAAAAGTGCCTCAATGCTACAGCGGATTGTTGGACCATCTGTAAAACTGAGTCTTGCAGTCAAAGCAGGAAAACTTTAAGCAATGGGATGCATTGATTTCATATTATAGTGTTCTTAAATTTCACTGCAGAATTGTATCTTACTCCAGTAAGATCTGGAATAAACTCAACTCATTCTAAATAGAAGTTATGCCTTAACTGTTAGAAGAAATCGTAGAGAATATATAGGAGGCATAAAAGCTATACTGCATTGATTCTTGTGCCTGATAGAAGTTTCTTTGTACCATCATGCTTTGTGATACACTAAAACACTGAATACCCCAGATCTTGTTGGGTTTTTTCTGCACTGATTATTTTCTGATTAATTTCCAGTCTTAGTTTTCTTCTGGTCTTTAAATTCTTCAAATACACATATATATATACATATATATATATATATATATTTTTAAGCACAACCTCACTTGTCACTTGCCTGATCTTGAGTGCAACCATCCTAATTTTTCCCTTATAAATGAATGTGTGGGATTCCTTTCATCCTTGAGCTTCTAAAAGTTGCTGCAAGCTCTCCAAGGGACAGACTTCTTCACAGGCAGCCCAGAGCAAAAGTAGTCTTTGCAGCTTCTGCATCTCATGTCAAGCAATATCCCGTTCAATTACTCCTTTGGTGTTAATGCTTAGCTTGTTTCAAACTCACTTCTCTCCAGTTTTTATTAAGATATAATTGACTGCACATTTCCAAGTTTGAATCTCATTTTCTCTTTCTTATTTTTCTAACCTTTTCAATCCTATTACATTATGTCTCAGTCTTCACTGATGCTTTGTGACTTCTTTCAATTTAGAATTATCTCTTCATTTAATTAGCATGCTATGAACCTTCTCTTTCAGATTATTATGAAAATGTTAAATGCTTGTAAAACAAGTCCTAACAATGGTCCCTGCTGACTAAAAACTTGCTGTAATTGCATTTATTACTTTAGTATTTATATTTTGCTTGCTATCCAACAGTAAGTTCTCTGAAAAATCCAAGTAACAAGTCTTCCTTTCCCTGTCAGTTTGATTCAGTTATAAAAATAATATTTTCTAAGATACTCTATAATGTAATTTGCACATCACTTGCATTCTTTTCTTCACATGTTAATTTTCTAGTTTCACCAAAAAGTAATCTAAATGGTTAGAGCTACTTTGATCTTTAACAGTTCTATGCTTTAATTTGAATGTGAAAGTGTTCTTTTTCCCAAATGTACATTCATCTACAGAAGACTTTGTAGTGGAAATGGAAATTGTTCAACTTAACAGTTTTGAAATTCAAAATTTTTTGCACAGCAACTGTTTCAACACATAGTATTAGAATGGAACAGCAAGAAAAATATAGCATATCTTGCACTGCATGCTTACTAGTATCTCTATATACTGTGCTAGCAAGTGGGGTTTCTGTAGGAGTAAGACGTGCTGACAAGTTGAAGTTATATAGAGCTCTGTCACACATATTTAGTACTCTTATATCCCTTCAAATGATTTAAATAGTCCTGGGTACAACTGCACATTGTCTGATCACTGTAAGAAGCAGGATGGGAAATGTCTCCTATGAAAAAGAATGTTAAGTATAACAAAAAATTATTTTCAGACAGTGACATAAATTTCTCATGTCAGAGCTTATGATGGAGAAATGTTGTATAAAATCAGGCAGTTTCCCATTTCCTATTAGAAAAAGAAACTCAAAGCATAAAGAAATCAGTCCAAAGCTCATAAATAAACACAGGATCAGAGCCTCAGCTTGGCATCACCTGCATTTCCAGGTCAGCTCCTTTTTCTTAAAAGAGAAGTATTTTTGTCCTTAACTCAAGGCATTTTGTTGGAGACTTAATATGGAGTTGGGTGTACAGAACCCAAAGTAGGTCAGATGCAGTGACCAAATGAGTTGGGCAGGTTCTTTCTCTGCTTGTCTTGCTGTCCATGGGTGGCATGATCCAGGTGTGTTCCATCAGGCAGTGACACTGCCAGCAAGGGAGACACCCATGTCCTAAGGGTGCGTGCTGCCAGGAACCTCAGAGCACTGTCCTGTTTCTCCCTGATCACTGTTGCATCTGC